GTGACGAACGTGAGCTTCAGTGGCTTCCCGTTGAGTGACATTGTTTCGGGCCTGCTTGTGGCCTGCTTTTTGGATTGACCTTTTAAGCTTGCCGCCGGCCGTCTGAAGTGCCAAGTGTCAGAGCGGAAGCCGCCAGCTGGCCTGACCAGGCAAAATGGAAAGTGACATTCCAAGTTCCGAGACGGCTCTGGTTTTTTGGTTCGTTCCATGTGCTTTTAAATTGCAGCCCTCGTGGCTTTTTGTTGGCACGTTGATTACGGAGTATTGTTTGTACCAAGGTACCGTCGACCTCGGTCGCTTTATCTCATCAACTCGAGCGACTTGGCACACACATAGCCTCTCCAATCTCCATCCCCCAATTTATTACACACATACGACGACGAGAAACATTCCCAGACTTGTCAGGGCTCAACTTTGGGACGCCTTAGCCGCCGCCTATTGGGCCAACTGGCTCCTCGGGACTTGGATCCCCAACGGCCCGAGGGCAGGAGGGAACGGGGAGCCAGTCGCCAGCCCAAAAAGCTTTATGGCGTTGAAACCATTTGCAAAATGCCGTTATCTCATCTTCGACATGTTTGTGAAGACGGCACTGACAGACCTTTGTTTCGAATCGACCCGACACAACAGGCGTCCCTTGGATCTCCCTCGCCCCACCTTTTATGGATATCTGGGAAATCTTGGTCGATCGTGTTCATATCGGCGCCAGGATCCGAAAGCGGCTCAGGAGTTGGGCGATCACACCCATGTGTCCAGTTGATTCAATTTTATTGTACAATTACCGCTCGGCTTGTTCTGGCATCGGACATCTGGCATCTGACATCTGGCATGCGATCTTGCGCGAACAGGTCTCGTGCCAGGTGCGGGGCTTGCTGAGCTGCCTGCAGCTTGGCTTGACTGTCGTTGGACATCCGGTAGCCGATACCCATCCATATGTCAACATCGTCTACACTCTGATATGCGAGGCAGATGAGTGCCAATATCGATATGCATAAGGCTAGATCCTCCTGCCATGGAAGGAAAAGACCCTTGGTATTCAGCCTTTCCTACCATTTATCGAACAGGTCCAAAGTTCCCGCAAAACACGCAAGCAAGCTGACCTGATCATATATTTGTCTCAAGCAGGCGGCTCGCAAGCTTCGGCATCTGCGCTTACCACTGTCTGCCCCAATGAAGTGTCCCGAGAGAGGCCTACCAGAGGGTTGGGCTATCGGCCAGACAGTGCCAGAAAACATCCCGACTGTCGACAGCCACAAAAGCCTTCGTACCTCGCAGGTCCCCGAGGGGTCGGCGACGTTGATGCAAGCCCCACCGCCAGATGCCCGTCACTACCCACCCCACGCCCATTTGAATACCCGCACCCACTAATCAGACTTAAGAAACGGCATCTTGCATGATCTGCCTAGGGTGAGCCACCACGGTGGTGTGGGCAAGGAGAGTATCGAAGAACTGGTGAAGTCATCGGGACTGGCCGACCAGCCATTCTCTGTCCTCATAGCTGCTGGAGCCCCTCAACCTGCTGCGCTGTCAGGGGGCGCAAAGAGTCGACATACACACTGCTATGGGCAGACTGATCAGTGATCACATCTCACAATCTCAAATTTGCACGACCATGGCGCGGCGTGTCTCCGCAGGTTCAGCCCAGTCAAGTCAGGGTTTGTGGTCTCGCTCGGCCGGGAGATCCTCCCGCAAGGGGTCGACAATGTCGCCATCGTTTTCCGGGGATGCACTGGTCGTCGATCACTGGACGCCTCCAATTGCCCGTGCGGCGCCGCTCATCTCTAGATCGGCCTCCCTTTGATGCGGCTGAGGCCTCATATCCTGTTCCCAACCCATTTACTGTATCACCACGCATACATATGCACCTTGGACAGTGTCAGCTCGACCTTGGGGACGGCCTGTACCTGCATTCTTGTTCCGGAACCGACGTGAGACCTTGTTGTCTCGTGGTTTGTGGTCGTGATACTATGATCTCTGTCGCTTTGGAGACAAACTGGAAGCTAAAAGGACGATGGGCCTTTTCCCGGCCGACAGAAATCTTTCATGAGAGTTGCTGGCCACGTTCGCCGACCACAGTCACAGGATTGTGTGAAGCCATCTTCCGGCCTCACGGATAAGGGATGGAGCAGCATACTACCCCTCCTTTTCTTTTCTTTTTCCTTGCTTTTTCTCTTTTGGGAAAACACGACTAAAAACAGCTCCCGTCCTCGTTTCAACTGATACTTGGCTAGCGAAATCTTAGAGTCTGGTGCTGGCCAGATCGTGTTGTACTTGCACCTTTTGTGCTCGGCCTGCAGGACACAAGAAAGTAAGTGGTAGCTGAGGGATCCAATGAAGGCAATTACCACAGGTACGACGACAGACGCTGTATCACCCTGCACAGGGACACTGATCCGGAGACATGCTGTTGTGGTAGATTGATACCCCTGTAGCTCCCTCTGCCGAATATTTTCGGACTGGCAGCTGGACAGTTCATCCCAGTCCTGACAGTGTTCTATGGCCTCGTATCTGCGAGCAGGTGCGTCACTCTTCCGCGTTCAAGCAGCCAAGGCCGAGAGCTTTTGCTCTTTGGTGACCCCTGATTTGTTCCGGCCTGAGACTCGAGACGCAATATGTCCCGGCACTGTCGAGCCCGGAGGTTTCCTTTCCTTGTGTTGCTTCCGCTCCTATTTATGAGGCAGGACGGAGGGCCATCCTAGGCGCAAAAAGAAAACCAGAGAAGAAAATAATTGGACATGAGGTTTGAGAGCGAAGGCAAGATAGCTGGAGCGTCTCAATGTGCTCTGCTAGAGGCGGCTTTTTGTGCGTGTCGGATATCTGACCTCGACTCCACGTGTTGTTGGTCCCCGACCACGCCTCCCTCGGCTCCGTCAGGTACGGATATCAGTTATGGAAACCAAGGTTCGTCATCCGTTACTATTTGGGTCAACTAAAGTGTGTGTTGTTAGGTACAACATCATCACATCTCACATCGTCAGGACTCGGCTGAATTGACATACCACAAAATAGTTGCATCCGAGGACGGTGACCTGTCACTAGTCACAGGAATGGTGACACTCGCACAAACACCTAGTTTCTGAGGGAAATCTTTCACGATGAGGATACCTACCCGTGCTTGGCCTATAATTATGCCGGGATTCTAATATCGGACTGATTGGCAGCATGTACAATAGATATTGCTCCATAAACCAATTGCAGGAGACAGAAGAGACAGATAATAGCTTCGACGGGCTAGGTGCTTTCAGTCTATAGCCTGGCAACACACGGCCACTTGGCGTTGGCCCCAAACACAGAGGTTACCAACTGGTGGGTAGAGTGAAGGATTCGGGAGTATGCTTATGATGTGATGGTGAGGAAGGCCTTAAGTAGGAATGCTGTAGCTAAATGAATGAGGGAGTGAGATTCGGATAGAACATATACCTCTGAATCCAAGAAACAACAAGATTTCCGTTCGAGATCGCCGAAGACAGGACTTTCTTTTGCTGGTACATATTTACGTATCTGTGGCCATAGGGACTCCACAAACCCACGTTTTTTCACCTCAGTTACAAGCCATTCATGGGCTAAGTGCGTCCGATATCTAATCTGCCAAGCTGAAACGTCACTCTACCTATCGAGACTCCCAACCTGTAACCAGAACGGGGCACAGCAGCCAGTTTTCGGCGTAATTCGCCCCATGAAACCGATGTTGAGGAGACGGGAGGAACATGAACACATGGTTACTGTCACGGTGACTACTAGGCATCTGGCTCTCCCAAGTACTGAGCGGAACCATAACAGCTTCGCGACTGAATTCGGAGAGAGAGAGGGCGTACAATATAGGTTCAAAAATGGCTCAAGTAAGGTGACACACTGTCGGTTGCAGGTAAGCATCAACTTTGAGTTGGAGGTTATTCAGCCTAGGATGAGTTATGACGAAAGCCTTTCCGCTTTCTCAGTACAGGCCGTAAGGTGATTTCCCTACCTCTGCTTTTCACACCTTCAGATGATTCTCTACCGCCCAATATCTGTGTTTTGATGTCTTTTTACTAGTAGCCACGGCAACCCTTTGTCCGCTTTAAGGGAGGATGATTTACAATGTTGGTGCAGTCATTGATTTACTCGACCGAATTGCACAACTAGGAACCAATATTACCCAACACATCTTGGAGTTAATGTCATCAATGCGGAGTAATAAGAGCCATCCTAGGTATCCTTACTGTCCTTGAAAGGTCAGTCAGTACCCAGCGGTCGGCTGATTTCCGCTTGTTAAAGGTCTGTATTCAAAGGTAAGTTTTAACTACCTGAAGCATCGATCGAAGCTGCCCGTGTCTAAAGGGAAATATCAATAGCCCATGTTAGTCCACTGAAGTTTTTTTTTTCACTATTCATGCTTGCAATATCATGTCTTGCTGACAGTTCTTCTTAGAATGTTCCTAGGCTCTAATATGGCAGCCCCTTATAGGTATGCAGCGTACCTGTCAACATTTGTCTCAACCCCCTTTCTACTTGTCTACTTCGAGATGTTAACTTATTCTCCTATCAATAGTCCAGCCTGTTTAAATGTTGAGGTTGGAAGAGAATCAAACTCCAAAGTCCGCAAAAGAACAGACTCATCATATTGACAAACTTCTGATCATTACGCTGATATGATACACACTCTGGTCTGACCGTCTGACCGTCCAAGTACAAAGCTACTGTATCAGCGTCCAAGGGAGAGAGAAAAGATTCATCTGGCTTCCCATAAGTCGTCTTTCCATCGATTTAGGGTCCCCTTTCAGCGATTCATTTTCACAACATTCGCAGCGCCTTGACTGTTGGGATTCCATGTTGACCGTGACATGCCCCCCGAATTTGGTTCTCATTGAGCTACGGACTCAGAATCAACCCATACGAGAAAGGTGTTGATGCTTTTAATAAATATGGCACCCGGAATCCAGATAGGTTTATCAAGAAACCCTAGAAAAAGAGAAAAAGAGCGAAAAAGAAGATTTCTAGGTCAAAGAGGCAAAACAAGAATACTTTGGACGAGCTGGGAATCGAACCCAGGACCTTTCGCATACGAGATATTTGATACTATGATCAAGTCAAGATGCTAAGCGAACGCTCTACCAACTGAGCCACACGCCCTCTGTGTGTGTTTGGTGATATTGTGTGGTGGTGGAGTCGGAATTAGGGTTTGAGTAAGAGTGGAAGTGAGCCGATAACATCCGTGTCGGCCCTGGTGGGGGTGGGGAACCATGGATCCGCAGGACGAAGGGATGCCGACACGGACTTGCGGAAGGAGACGGAATAGACGTTGACAAAACCGTATAGCGGAGATGATTGGAATCGGAATGCTGGATGGGACGGAATCCGCTGAGATGGTATGCAGCTTGGGAAGTTGGTCAGTGGTTGGTGGCGAGGTCAAGAAGTTCACTTGAGGTGGGATGATGGCAGTGTGTACGATAAGATATCAGATAAGGTTTATCGCAATGGGACCAAAAGAGAGGGTTAGGGTTGTAAGAGGCTCTTGCCCGTACGCGCTAACCCTATGCAGCTAAATCGTAGATTTGTGGCCCAGACATCCCGCATCCTTGCACCTTTGCTGGGTGTTGAAGAAATTTTGTCCCAGCGCTTTCGAAAACTTCACCATCCGTCTATCACACACAGTTCCGCCACCACACCTTTTCCACACAAGGCCAGTTACGCGGTATCATCCTCAATCCTCTCAAAATGTAAGTATACTGAAGACGGTTGGCGCATCCTTGGTTTCTTGCATATGCTAACCCACCGTCTGCTAGGCAATCTCTTCGCCGTGCCGCTGTGCGATCTGCCCTTTCGGCCTCCAGGGCCGTTTCGGTCAAGATCACCTCCGCTCCATTTGCTTCCTCCATCGTCAGAGCCGCTACAGTTTCCAAAACTGTTCCCGTACAAGCCGTGCGGTGGTACTCCCAGGAGCCCACTTCGCAAGACCCATTGTCGCAGGACATCACCGAGGAGGCCCACGAGGCCGAGGAGAGCATCACAGAGCAAATCCAGGAAGAGCGCCAGCCTAAGAACTTTGACAGTATGTCGAGACCCGCACACCGTGGTTGTGTGCGAATGTAATGCTGATATCGTCCAACAGAGTCCAGAGCCATCTTTGTTCGCAACATCGTCTTCGAGGTCAACGAGCAACATCTCAAGGAGGCTTTCGAGACTTATGGCGAGATCGAGGATACCTTCGTTGCCCGCGACCCCCGTGGCATGAGCAGAGGGTAAGCTTTGCAATGGTCGAAGGTGTATGAGAAGAAGACATGCTAACACACCGTTTTCCCAGCTACGGATTTGTAACCTTCAAGGATATTTCTGCGGTCAGCGCTGCGTGCGCCGCTGTCAACGGTTCTTTCTGGCATGGACGTCGGGTAACCTGCATTCCTCGCAGGGAGGAGGAGCCCCGCCCTGCCCGCCAGAACCAGGCGAAGTCTCTTGTCGAGCCAACTAGACAGCTCTTTGTCGGCAACATTCCCTATGAGACCACTGACGCCGAGCTCAACAACCTCTTTGCTGGTCTCTCCAACGTCACCGATATCCGCATTGCCGTCGACCGCACGACTGGCTGGCCTCGTGGTTTTGCCCACGTCGATTTCACCGACGTTCCTTCGGCCGAGGCTGCGAAGGAGAAGCTCGTCACCTGCGAGCTTGGTGGTAGACAACTGCGCGTTGACTTTGCTACGGGATACGGAAAGGGTGAGCGCCCCAACGGCCCCAGGAGAAATGACCGTAACAACCGCAACGACCGCAACAACCGCAACGATCGCAACGATCGCAACGACCGCAACGACCGCAACAACTGGAACGAGAGCTTCTCCAGAGATTAGGATGCGCAACCCGGCTTTTGTTGGTGACGACTCAAATACCCCTTTCCATTTCCGCTCTAGATGACGAGCGGTGGTTTCATTCTTGTCGTGGACGGTGGGAGGTAGCCGAAACTGTGTAAAATACCATGATTTGTGTTCATACTGAGATGATGTCCTGTATACCGAACTGGCGGGTTTAGAATGTATGATTATGTGTGTAGCAACAATGAGCTCTCTCCATGCCTTCTGCTTACGGCCTCGAGTCTGTCTTTGTCAACGTGAAGCCATGCAGGCACAATGTCGGCTGGCGCAAAGTGGGTCCTGGCTTGGAGGATGGAACCTGGAAGCTTAGCAATCCCAGTGGGCGGGACGCCGGGACCCTCCAGCAGCTGCCTCGGCACATGCTATTCGTTGCCCGTCAGTGGCGGGGGAACGTCGACTCGGTCCGGGGGACAACAAACAGACGTACAACGCAGCATGTTTTTCTAGAGTATTAATTCGCTAGGCGTGAGACCAGCTGAAGCCGTCGATATCTTCTTCAGCAGACTCATCAACTAATTTACCTTATCGCTCTGCGTCTCAGGCAGAGTTGGGCCTCATTCTTGCTTACCTCGACGCACATTAGCGGTGCCAGGCCTGAAGTTCAAGCCCCGCCACCCGCTTCGGCTCTCCTTTTCCTCCCATCTGATCGGCCCCCTTATTGCGTTCGCCGACCTCGACCGCCTTTGCGTTTTCCTCACACTTCACAGCCGCAACTATGTCGTTTCTTGGTGGTGCCGAATGCTCAACGGCGGGCAATCCGCTCAGCCAATTTACCAAACATGTTGGGGACGACAAGAGCCTGCAGCATGACAGACTCGTTGGCAGAGGGCCGGCCAATTCCGTGGGCGGCTTCCGGAGCGTTGGCCGCAACACCCCTCAAGATGAGGTAGGCAAGAATCGAGAAATAATTGGTCTTACTGGGATGATGCTAACTGACATACTGAGCAGATGATGAATGGCTTCCTCCACCAAAATGCCACTCTTCCTGATATGCCCCTCGAGCAGCAGCAGGGTCCCATGGCCCACGCCCATCTCGATCACCTTCGCGCGCAATCTGCATCACCTCTCTCGCCATCATGGGCTCCCGATACGCAAGCCGCAATGGAGGCTGCCTTCAACGCGCCTCCTGGCACCCACTTCAGTGCCGACGAATTTACCAAATTCCAACACATGAACCCCTCGGCCGCCGTGTCGCATGCCCCGGCGATGCCCGGCGCCAGCGCCAGCATGCAGCGCCCTATGATGATGGGTGGTGGCATGAGTTACGGCATGATGCAGCGCCCTATGTACCAGCCCATGTTTGGTGCTCAAATGCACATGGCCCACCAGCCTCTCCAGCAGCACCAACAACCCGTGGCTGAGGGCAAGGGAAAAGAAAAGGTTGTGGAGCTGGATGAGAGCAAATGGGAGGAACAGTTCAAGCAGATGGAGCTTCACGATCGTCAACAGCAAGAAAAGCACGAGGCCTTGGCGATGGAACCTGAACTGGAAAAGATGGACGAGAAGCTGTTGCACTCCGAGACTGGCTATGGCGACCTGGAATCGATATGGCGTGGAATTCAAGCAGAGAAGGCCCATCTGGATGATCTGGACGATATTGAGGATTTCTCCAAGTTCGACAGTTCCAACTTTGGCGGGGACAACCTCAACGACTGGGGGCTGAACAACCGACTTGGTGCCGACCCCATTGTGCAGGATTACCTCTTTGAAGACGAAAATATCTTTGACAACACCACAAACCCATTCGAGGAGGGCATCCGGATCATGAACGAAGGAGGAAACCTCTCCTTGGCTGCTCTCGCCTTTGAGGCGGCCGCTCAAAAGGAACCCGAACACGTCGAAGCCTGGGTCTACCTCGGCCATGTGCAGGCCCAAAACGAAAAGGAGGAAGCCGCCATCCGCGCTTTGGAGCAAGCCATGAAGCTTGACCCCAACAACCTTGCCGCTTTGATGGGCCTGGCTGTCTCGTACACCAACGAAGGCTATGATAGCACCGCCTACCGCACCCTCGAAAGGTGGCTCAGCGTCAAATACCCCCAAGTGATCGCCCCACAGGATCTCTCATCCGCCGCTGAAATTGGCTTCACCGACCGCGCCCAGCTGCATGATCGTGTCACCAGCCTCTTCCTTGAATCAGCCCGTCTGGCTCCCGACGGAGATCACATGGACCCCGACGTCCAGGTTGGCCTCGGCGTCTTGTTCTATGGCGCCGAGGAGTACGACAAGGCCGTCGACTGCTTCCAGGCGGCACTCCACAGCTCCGAGATGGGCACGTCTAACCAGCGGGAGCAGATCCATCTCCTGTGGAACCGTCTCGGCGCCACGCTCGCCAACTCGGGCCGGTCAGAGGAGGCCATTGCGGCGTACGAGAAGGCGCTGTCGATCAACCCCAACTTTGTCAGGGCGAGGTATAATCTGGGCGTGTCGTGCATCAACATTGGCTGCCACGCCGAGGCGGCGGGTCACTTGCTCGCCGCGCTGGATATGCACAAGTCGGTCGAGAAGAGCGGGAGGGAAAAGGCGAGGGAGCTGCTCGGCGGCGGCAGCGGGCCGGACACGGACGCGAGGATTGATGCCATGACCACGCAGAACAGGAGCACGACGCTGTATGACACTCTGAGGAGAGTCTTCACGCAGATGGGGCGGCGGGACCTGGCTGAGAAAGTCGTGGTCGGTGTTGATCCTGAGATCTTCAAAGGAGAGTTTGACTTTTGACGGGGACGGTGACAGCAGCAGTCAGAGTGTTGAGAAAGGAGGACTGTGGCACTTGACTGGTGGGAAGGGGGTCGTTTGGGAGATGCCATTTGTTGTGTGAAAGTAGCTGTTGAGGGTTTCTTTTGTCTGGGTTGCACCTACGAAGCTCTCCTAACCCGAAAACGGGCAAGGGTTTTTGGCTATTTCTGGGAAGGGAAGGGGAGGGAATGAGGAAGGCATGGCAATTAGTAGTCAGCATTTTCATGGCAGTACCGTGGCATATACACAGTAGCTGGTAACAGTAGGTGGAGCGCTCATTGCTTTGATCGGGGAAAGTGCATAGAGAAAGAAATAGCGAATTATATACATGATCAGCCACACCAAGGTCATCATCATTGGCCCAATTCGGATTTGGATACATTCATTTATTATTGTTGCTTGTCTCTCACCACTCTCTCCGTCGCTTCCACATAAAGAGCCCACTTTCCAAGCGCGCTGATACAAAACGGCATAACATACCTACTCCATACCTCCCAACAGAGCCCTGGGTATCATGAACTTCTCCAAGGAGAG